ACTGCCTTTAATCCCCTCCGCTCTGGAACAGCTTCGAAAAGCTGTTATCTTTACGAAGTTGGACCTCCGCAGCGCCTACAATTTGGTCAGGATCCGTCGGGGGGATGAGTGGAAGACTCGTTTATCACTAGTACTGGTCAATATGAGTACCGGGTTATGCCATATGGGTTGGCGAACAGCCCCTCGATCTTTCAAGCATTTATGAATACGGTCTTCCGGGACATGATCAACCGGTTTGTGGTCGTCTATATCGATGACATTTTAATTTATTCATCATCTCGTGCTCAGCATCTCTCCCACGTCAGCCAGGTTCTTCAAAAGTTACGTGAATACCGTCTCTTTGCCAAAGGAGAGAAATGTGAGTTCCATCGGACCCAAGTACAGTTTTTGGGCTACATCATCCGTCCCACAGAGGTGGCCATGGATGAGAGCAAGGTAACGGCCATTCTCCAATGGCCGCGTCCTCATAGTCTCAAGGAACTTCAACGGTTTCTGGGGTTTGCTAATTTCTACAGGCGGTTTATTCGTAATTTCAGTCAGGTAGCTGCTCCTCTTACGTCTTTAACCAGAGGTCAGAGTACCAGATTAAGGTGGACTCCCGAGGCTGAGAGGTCTTTCAACCATCTTAAACAGGCATTCAGCTCAGCCCCTGTGCTCCAACAACCCAATCCGGATCTCCCCTTTGAGGTGGAGGTGGACGCGTCCAACGTCGGAGTCGGAGCCATCCTTATCCAACGACATCCGGTAACTGGGCGTAGGCACCCTTGCGCTTTCCTGTCCAAAAAACTTACCTCGGCTGAACAAAATTATGATGGCGGGGACCGAGAACTCCTTGCTATCAAGGTGGCATTGGAGGAGTGGCGGCATTGGTTGGAGGAAGCCCGTCACCCCTTCCAGGTGTTTACAGACCATAGGAACCTGGAGTATCTACAACAGGCTAAGAGGCTTAACTCACGACAAGCCAGGTGGGCAATGCTCTTTGCCCGGTTCGATTTTAAAGTCACTTACCTTCCAGGAAAGAGGAACATCAAGGCGGATGCCCTGTCTCGGCAATATGAACCACCAGAGACTAGTCCTTCAGCTGAGACTGTCCTTCCACCCACCTGCTTTGTCGCACCCATTACCTGGTCCCTAGAAGAGGCGCTCCGTCTCCCCAAGGATGTCCCTCCGGTCGGTGGTATGTACCTCGCCACCTCCAATCTGCTGTGCTTCGGTGGGTTCACACAGCCCCCAGTTCAGGACATCCTGGGGTTCCGACAACTCAACGGTTGGTGTCGTGACGGTATTGGTGGCCTGGGTGGAGACAGGCCGTGGAGAAATATGTAGCCGCTTGCCCCGACTGCGCTCAATTGAAATCAGCCCATCAACCTCCAGCCGGCCTGCTCCATCCACTCCCAGTCCCATCGCGTCCATGGTCTCACCTCACTGTTGACTTCATCACGGACCTTCCCTCCTCACAGGGCAACACTATCATTCTGACGGTGGTAGATCGATTTTCGAAGATGTGCCGGCTCTTCTCCATGCCCAAGCTTCCTAATGCCGCTGATCTCGCCGAGGTACTGATCACAGGGGTCTTTCGCTTCTACGGAATGCCGGAGGATATCGTGTCAGACCGGGGTCCCCAATTCACCTCCTGGGTATTCAGGGCTCTTTGCACCAAGCTACACATCTGTCAGTCTCACCTCGGCTTGTCACCCCCAATCCAATGGGTTGGCCGAGTGGACTAACCAGGAGGTGTCCAAAGCTCTCAGGCTTCTCTGCAAAGACAAACCTCATGAGTGGTCCCGTCACCTGGTCTGGGCAGAGTATGCCTTGAATGCTCGAGTTAACCGTACCACTAACATGTCTCCTTTTCAATGTGTCCTGGGGTACAGTCCTCCTCTTTTCCCTTGGGACACACCACCAGGGGACATTCCCCAGGTCGAGGAATGGTACCACGGAGCCAGCCGAGTGTGGCATCAAACTCGTCGAGCCTTCACCAAACAGGCCGCCAAGCAGAAGACCCAAGCGGACAAACGCAGACGGCCAGCCCCTCCTTACCGGGTGGGCCAGCAGGTTTAGCTGTCCACCCGCAACCTGAAACTGCCTTCCTGCCATAAGTTGTCGGCACGATTCATCGGACCTTTTCGAATCATGCGAAAGGTGGGTCCAGATTCCTTCCGACTGGCACTCCCCACAGTGTACCGCATATGCCCTACATTTCATTCCTCCCACAGAGAAATAAAACGTTCTTTGAATGTTTGTGTAACGCTTGTATATTACTGTTTGCAAACAGTATCCAAACAGTGAACAAACAGTGTATGAACATTAAATGAGGACAAACAATGTTTGTATATAAACGTTACAAAAACGTTTGCAAACGATCCTGAAGCACACAAGCAAAAAATGAACGTTATATAAACAGTTATTTTTGCAAGTTTACTTTCAGTAGCTTTTGCATCCAGAAACATTAAGGTACATTATTAAATAGGGTGGTAGTAGCTTAATGGGAAAGGGACTGCGCTGGGAATCAGACCAGCATTCAAATCTACTACTATATGCTCCTAACCAATGCACTCAACCCTAAGTTGCTATAGGGTATTGTCCCTGTAATTATGTAAGTCACGTTATGTAGCTGTCGCTTTTTATCCAGAGTTGAAGTAGATAAATGATTATTTGACCATAATACTTATAGCCAATAATTATTATATTTTATTAATTTAGCACAACAAACAAAATTGTAAACAATTTTGCATATAAATAAAGCTGAGAAGTAACAAACTCTGTGAACCTTTTACACACCATGACGATTTATTTACACATGGGCAATTTTAAACACAAGACATTTTAGAAATTTCATATCAAACCAATGGACATTTTGAATAAAATGTATGACATTAAACAGGAAAACTTGTAACAAGGATCACAAGGTATGAAAGTTCATTAATCATCTGCAGAGATACTTTCCTTTGAGGACAGTTCATTTTCTGATCCCAATTCATATGAGGAAGGAGTGTTGTCAGCTTGTGGAAAGAGTTCAGGATGTTGCTGAAGAAAAGTATCTTTTCAGTTTCTCTTTGTGACACCAGGTCTATCAAAGCATTCCGCTGCCTCTTTGAGACGTTGCTGTCCCCATCCAACTTGGCATTGACCTGTTTCAACTGTAAAATAGATGTAGTATAACCAGCATTAGCAAGATAAAAGTAATGGAATAAAATCAATATGTGGAAACAAGAAAGACTAAAGCATATACAATACAATAATGTCACTCATGTCTTCAACTGATGTAACAGGGAAACCCTTCACATCCAAAAGTAGCTTGTTTTTGCTCATATTTGTGGAATAGAAGTGCTCATTCTTTTGATGATTGTCCTCACATTATCGTCTTGTTCAGGCTCTCTTGCTGGAGTGACTCCAGATGTGGGTATAATGGTGGAAGGTGCAGTCTTAAGTTGAACAGCACATTCAGTTTTCTATCTATAATTTGAAAGCTTTGCGAGTATGTATTTAATGTGACCGTCATCACATTTTGTTTTTCCTGAAACATTAAAATATTAAACTGTTATTTCTCTAAAAATTGTAGACATTTTTAAAGCACACGTCACGTTTAATTATTAATTTGACTTAAACAGTAATTTTGTTTTTCTTCAAGCCAAATGTGTGTGTATATAAATTGAGTCTTCTATGCAAAACCTGTATTTGCAAAATACTTCTTTTGTGTATCTACTGTACATGTGTTTGGTGTCAGATAAATCATCATTACACATAAATTTTAAAAGTTCCATTTCTAAAACCCATGTCTATTAATATTTGGCATGATAACATATTTTGCATGCAACATAAATATACACACCAAAAGTTGCTCCAGTTTTTTAAAGATCATGGAGAGGGTATGCTGACTATAACCATCATGTTCTGCACTGGAATCACAAGACATCTCACAAGGCCCTGTCTGGGATGTCCTCTACAAAGGCATCAGCAAGGCGGTGACATAAACTCATCTGTGAGAAGCCATCTCCCTCTTGTGAACGTTTTTCCAACACTGAAATAAACAAATAAATAGAGAACTAGTCATGAAAATATGTGTACTGATTATTCTTCAAAAATAAATGTTAAACATGATATTGAAAACACACACACACTCACACAGAAACCCAATTTAAAAATTCAGCAAAAAAGGTAATTGCTTTATATTAGGAATTTCCTTTACATAATTAACAAATGCAATAGCATTATACCTGTGGGTTTGCTGGAGGGTTGAGGTGCAAGTGGTGTTTGGCGGTCAATTACAATCTTGAGATTGCTGGAGTTAAAGGACTTTTGTGGACTAGCAGTGGTTGCAGGCAGAGAATCACACGCTGGAGTCACACTTTTTTAAGGTTGTTTTTCAAGCATACATTATTGCAGACCAGGCTTCAAATCTGAAAAATTTCAAATTAAACAAGTAAAATGTCAAATCCTAACCTGAAAATGTTACATACACTCAATCAACAACAACAGTTCAATTAATAAAACTGTCATGCAATACTTCCTACCTGATAACAGTTGATATATACTGTAATGACATTTTTGTGGTGTTCTTACCTCTTTTCCTTTCTTAAACACCTAAATTACTAGTGTGTTTTGGTAATGAAAATTGCTTATTACTGATTACACATAACATTACATTTTTGTGGAGAAAAAAAAACACTGATTATGAAATATTAAGTTTGTTAAGGAAATGTGTTTACATCCGCGATACACTCAAAATGACGATGGGGGCGTGTCAGACAGTGTAGGCACACGACTGACAAAGACCGATTGACGGGCAAGGTTTCAGGCAAAATCTTCACTGTTCGTGTTACGTTTGTTGTTTGTTTGGAAACGGTTGTAAAACCGGAAACCTGAGTTTACAGAAACGAACGTTATTCACACGGCTCACACGTTACATGGTTGTTTGTAAACAGTCAAAACAGTAAATACACAGTAAAAGAACGTTTATATTTTGTTCGTGAACGTTCGCTTCTCCCTGGGCTCTCTCCTCAAGCCGGTCCGTTACAGTCCAGCCCACTCGCAGGCACCAGTGGCAGTTCCGCCGCCCCCGAGTGTGCAGGATGGCTCCACCGTGTATCAGGTTCGGGCTCTTCTGAATTCCCGACGTCGGGCTGGGGGTTTGCAATATCTGGTGGACTGGGAGGGCTTTGGCCCCGAAGAGCGGTCATGGGTTCCACGGACCGACATTCTGGACACCAGTCTATTGGATGACTTCCATCGTTTGCACCCATCGAGGCCAGCACCGCGACCCCGTGGGCGGCCGCGGCGCCTTCCTCGCCCTCCTGGAGGCGGCCGTCAGGGGGGGGTACTGTCACGCCCACAAGGGTGGGGCAGCGCAGCACTTAGCAATCATCCTCATTTGCCGGTCCTATACTTAAGGCTTAGCAGCACTGACAGCCGGTGCGAAGTATTGTTGCTATGTACCGGAGCATTACTGATCGTTTACCTGTCTTGTGTTTCCTCTCCTTTCCCTGCCTGTTTCACCGTGCCCTGCTGTCCCGCCTGCCCTGCATCCCTGCCTGGTCCCGCTCGCTCTGCCTTCGTCCCCGTTCCTGCTTGCCTTGTTTCTCCTGCCTGCCTGATCCACTCGTCCTGCCTGATCCACTCGTCCTGCCTGATCCATCCCTTCGTCTCATCGTCCCGTCCCTCTTTGTAGGACTGATTTACCCGGCTTCGACCCTTCAGCGCCCGACCCGACTATTCCTACGGATTTCCCCTTTGGCACTGCATGTGATTGGCTTTGTTTATGTGAATAAACCCGGCTCCTGCATTTCGGGGTCTGCCTCTTTCCTGGGTCGGCAGCGTAACACAGACAAGTAAGCATATGCATTTATTTATTCTTTCAAATACTTTCGGGAAACTGAAATCGCAATTGCTGAATCAAGAGAAATGGGGATTAAATTGTACTTCAAATTACGATTATACTATACATTTATTTTACGATTCCTCAGACCACACTGTTAGAAAGACATTTCTGAGCAGATCCGAGGTTGAAACCGTGAAACTCGCTTTCATTTGCAAAACAATAGGTGTTGATTGGTGCTGATGAGGGGACGGGCAGTTTGTGTGGGGAGTGAGGGGGGGGCTCCACCAGAGGTGCGTCCGAGATTTTTCGTAGGCTTTAGGGATTCTAGTGTTAAAGGGGCAGCTCCGGTCCTGCCCGCGGCACCACCTGCTGCTGCTGCCGCCTCTCTGCCCGCGGCACCGCCGGCTGCGGCGCCCCCTGCTGGCCACGTGACGGAGGTGCCCGCCGAGGCACCCCCTGCTGGCCGCACACCCGAGGTGCCCGCCGAGGTGCCCCCTGCTGGCCGCACACCCGAGGTGCCCGCCGAGGTGCCCCCTGCTGGCCGCACGCCCGAGGCGCCCCCTGTTGGCCACGTGACGGAGGTGCCCGCTGAGGCACCCCCTGCTGCCCGCACGCCCGAGGTGCCCGCCTAGGCACCCCCTGCTGGCCGCACGCCCGAGGTGCCCGCCAAGGCGCCCCCTGCTGCTGGCCGCTCTGCCCGTCCAGCCCGTCCTGCCCGGTTCACCCGTTCTCCCCATCTCTCCGGTGGCACCACCCGCGGCGCCAGCTGCACCACCTGTTGCCTCATTGGAGGCCCTGACTCCAGTCCCCCCAGCTCAGGTCCTAGTCCCTTAGGAGGTCCTGGACAGCCTGACTGCCGCTCCCACCTCCATAGCTCGAATGGGACCCCTCAGGGACCTTCCTGATGACTTCTCCTTCCTCGCCTCGACGAGGGTGACCTCAAGTAGGACCCCACCTATCTGTGTCCCTCAAGGGGAGGTGACATAGACGTCAGGCCGGGGTCCCGCCCGCCCTGCCCCCTGGCTCGCCCTCGCTCGCTTTGGCTGGGGCTCGGGGCACGCCTGCGGTTCCTCCTGCTCTGGGCCGGCGGTCGCCTGCGGGTCCCCCTCTGCGGCCTCGGTCCCGACTCCGCGTTGGTCGCCTGGGGGTCCCCCTGCGCCGGCGTGTTGGCGGATGGCGCCTCCGCCCCCTGTGGAGGCGCCTTCGCTGGCTGCAGCTTCCCCCTTCTTCCCTTTGCCGTTGGCCCCTCCGACTCCCTTCTTGTCTCCTTCGTCTGTCCCTCGCCCTGTCTCCTTGTTCCCTTCGTGATTCCCTCCTGCTCCCTCCTTCCTGTCGCCTGCAGCCCCTCCAGCCGCCGCCCGTCTGGGCTCCCTTTTGTCCCCCGTCCATTCCTGTCTGGTCTCCCCTGTCTGCTCCTCCTCCTTCTGTTCCTCCTCCGTTTACTCCTGGCCCCTTCGTGTCGCCTGTGGGTGTTTCCTCTGTGTCTCCCTTCTCTGTCTGCCTGTCGGTGTTTCCTGTTCTTTGTCAGGTCTTGTGTTTCTTCTGGTCCCTGTTCCTGTTCAGTGTTTCCATTCTGTTTCCGGTTCCCTGTTAGCGTCTTGCCTTTTGTCATTGACGTTTGTAGATGTGCTTCCCCCGGGTCTCTGGGATGTGATGAAGGAGGCTTTATGGAGTGGTTCAACTCACTTGTCAATACAGGATCTTGGTGAGAAATGAATGCAAATCTGGATGAAAATAAAGGATGAGATGTTGCATAAGCTTGTGGAAACAATGTCATGACAAATGTGCACCATAATCAAAGCTAAAGGCGGCCCCGCGAAAAATTTATTTTTCTAGAAATGGCAGTTTCAGTCCCAATTAGATAAGCCAGCTGCGTCAGAAATTAGAGGAACGGGATCAGACTGGTTGCTCAGGGACTAAGTGTGGTAGAACTAAAACTGAGATAAATTGGACTGTGTTTCAACTGTGGGAAAATGAGGCAAAGCAGGGAGAGGAGATGCAATTAGAGGGTGTGAGATAGAAGCGGGAAATGCCAGACCAGAGGTTCGATGTATTCACCAAAATAGTCCCAATATATTTGTTGGGGGATGGGGGCGGGCAAAAAAAAAGTCCCTTTATGCTTGGATGACAGCATTGCAGACTCTTGGCATTCTTTCAACCAGCTTCCAGATGTAGTCACCTGGAATGCTTCTTCTAAAGTAGTGATGGACTTTCCACAAATTCTGGACTCAAGTTGGTAGTAGGGCATGGGTACCCTGGCAGATTCAGGGGACCCAGCACTTTAAAGGGACCCTTGAATAGATTTCATGACTGGCATCTGTGGGTACAATTAATTAAACCTGCTAACTTTGCACTCAAATTTCAAACCATTGGTTACACTTATACATAGTTTGTATAATGTCTTCACCACCAGGTGGCGATATAGCAACTCCAGAGTTGATGGATGGCTGGAACAAAAAAAACACAGTAACACAGCAGCATAGCTAGAAATTCTGGGCTCCTGACAAAATCACCTTGCCTAATTTTACATATTGTAAAAGACGGTTGATGAGCCATCTTCAGGTCAATTAATAAAATGGAGGCAGTCTAAAATTTGCTAACATTTTTAGATGTTGAAGACTGTCATGTAGCGTGGTCGGCGGATGGGCAGAAAGGCAATCTGAGCAGGTCAGACGGCGTTTAATAGGGTAGACAGGGTGGACGATCACTGGCAGGGCAACACAACACTACACACATCAATGACAAGTCTGAGGAAGACTGACTCAGACGGGGACTAAATACACAAGACAAGCTAAGGGTAACGAGCAACAGGCGAGAACAATCAGGCAGAAACAGGAGGTAACGAGGTGGGCGTGGCACACATTAGGATCGGACGGAGCTGGGCGTGACAGACCCCCCCCCCCAAAGGCGCGCACACCGGGCGCGCCTGAGAGGAGGCGACGGACGAGATGAGGGGCAGGAGCTGAAAAACAAAAGCAAGACATCAATGGGAAACCGGGAACAAAACAGAAACACGGAACAGGGACCAGACGAAAGACAAGACCTGACAAAGGACGGGGAACGCAGACAGGCAAACGGAAAAGGGCGACACGGAGGGAACACCCACAGGCGACACGAAGGGGCCAGGAGTGAACGGAGGAGGAACAGAGGGACAAGGAGCAGAAACAGGCGGGACAAAGGCAAAGGGAGGAGGAACAAGGGGAGCCCGAAGGAACCCAGACAGGCGACGGGCAGCAGCCGGAGGGGCCGCAGGCGAGAGGGAGGAGGGAGCAGGAGGGGACCACACAGGGGCCAAGGGAACGGGTCGAGGGAGTGACGGAGGGGACACGGAGGGAGCAGGAGGGAACACCGGTGCAGGCAGGCAGGAGGGGGAAGCCGCGGCAGGTGAAGCCGGAGCCGGGGGGCCCGGAGGCGGCCGACACGGAGCCGGAGGTGGGACCAAGGAACCAGGGGGGGACCCGGAGGAGACCGCCGACCCAGAGCTGGAGGACCCGCAGGCAGCCACCGAGCCACAGCCAGGGGCCAAACGGGAGAGCCAGGGGGCAGGGCGGGCGGGACCCAGGCCCGACGCCTGTGTCCCCGTCCCTTACGGGATACTGAAAGGCGAGGTCCTGGGGGTGTCGGCCTCGCCGGGGCAAGGGCGAGGAAGTCGTCAGGGAGGCACCCGAGGGTGGAGGCTCGGGCAAAGCATGGGGCGTGGCGGCAGGCGGTGCAGCCGGAGCCGCGGGCTGGGCAGGCAGGACAGGAGAGCCGAGCAGGACAGGAGAGCCGGACTGGACGAGCAGGACAGGAGAGGCGGCCTCAGGCAGGGCTGGACGGGCAGGACAGGAGAGGCGGCCTCAGGCAGGGCCGCGGGCAGAGAGGACGTGCGGCCAGCAGGGGGCGCCTCGGTCGTGCGGCCAGCAGGGGTTGCCGCAGGCAGAGAGGCGGCTGCAGGCGGTTCCACGGGCAGTGCGGCGGCAGCAGCAGGTGGTGCTGCTGGCAGGTCCGGAGCAAGCAGGTCCAGGACTGCCCCTTTAAGGGCTCTAGAGACCCGGGGAATATCGTCTCTCACCGGGCTGATCAGCTTACCGGCGATGTGCTCCGGCTGGTAAGGATATGCCTCCAATGGAGCCGGCATCTCACCGTTGAGACAGAGCAGGCGGGTAGCGCCGGTGTCTCCCCAGGTAAGTGGGGAGCTCCCTAACTTACTGGCTGACTCCCAGGCAGGGATCAGTGAGCAGGCGCCCAGGAAGAGGGTCGATGTGCCGCTTCGGGCACGTCACCCAGGCTCCAAGCAACGTGTTCCGCCTGTCCTTCCGTGAGCCGGAGCTGTAGGTGGCTGAGGCATTTACGTGCCCTCTGGAGCGGGTATTGTCATCCGGGCGTCCGTTCCTGTGCCAGGAGGTCCGCGCCCTACTGGGCTAGCTGCAGGGCCACGGGGTCCTCCTGGACCTCGGGCTGGGATCACCAGTAAACAAAGTCCTGCAGCAGACT